AAGCACAGATGATGACGAGGAAAATGAACAAGGAGCAGCTCGCCTGCTTCCAAGTAAGTATTATGAATTCTAAAAGAGCCACCGGAGTCCAGATCTTGTGCAATGTTTCACAGATTAAGTAAGACGACTGATGCTCTCGTCATTTCATTGTGGACCCATTCACCTGCCCAGTTGAAAAATGGACCACACACAAACCCAGTTCAAGTTGGAGGAGGTAAACCAAAAGCACAAGACTCGAGTGTTTCGTATGCCATTAAAGGTATCTCGAGAAGAAATCATCTCATCTTCTGTCTTCCTCCTAAGCTGAAAACGATGTTGTGATAACACAATGAGCAGTGGAATATAGAGAGTCAACTGTTCAAATTGTTTAAGATACCATAAATATGTAGACACGATTCAAACACGCATCCTTTTTTCTTGGACAATTTCCTTTGGGTCTAAAACATTTTAATCCTCATCACTTGAAATAACTCATGCACCAGTAGAGCTTCAGTCTGAAATTGTGGGCATTTCATCTAAATTTTTATGCAAGATGTAAATAATTCAAAGATATTTAATCAATTATTGTTGTCGAAATGCAAAAACTTTTTGTTTAGATGCATGTAACTTTCCTCCTTCGTGTTTAAGTTTAATGTCATCAGATTGTCATATACTAAGAAACTAGTCATGTTTAAAGTCCTTCGTAAACATAATCCCTCGAAAAACCGGAACCACAAAATGATTATTAGAATCCGGGGCTGTGCAGTAAAACAAGAGGATAAAAAGTCCACGTAAACTCGCCCAAGCTAATGATGATGATTTTAAATGCACTCCGCACATACTGTGGCGTGGACGCCGTGGACTCGGTGGTTGAGTTGAATTGAAGTTGAAGAGACTTCAATTCTCAGCCAAGTGCTGATTAGCGGTGGAAACATCTCATCTTCGGTGATTCCTCTTCATCCTGTCTGATTTCATCTCCTCCCAACCCCGGCTCGGTCCAGCATGAGCGTATTCAGATTCAGCGATCGATGATGAATCTCCATTGTTCGTGTTTGTATTATATTTTATTTTATTTAGGGTTTATAAAGGATTTAGAGCTTAGTGTAGTGATTCAGCGCTTTCCTCCTTCTCACTCCTGCCTTGACTCTGCTGCTCGCATAACGGATATCACCTCCTCGTTGGTGGATAAAGTGAAATGTTTAAGATAATCAATGGCTGTGCCCTTGTCGCTCCTTTAATAGATGAACAAGACATGAGATATTTTGTGCTGGAATATAACAACAAAAACTCCCGGTTGTTGACTGTTATGTGTCATAACATTTCCTAAAGAAAGAGCAGACAGATTATTTTCCGTATTTGGCTTAACTTGTTTTTTTCTTTGTGCAAGTTTATCATTTATGTAAAAGGTGGTGAATTTATTATTATTGCCATTAGCACATTTTGTTAAACTTATTTTATTCATACAACTGCTACATGCATGCTGCTAAATCCTGCATAATATATATACAAACAATGTTATAATTATCTATGTACAATGGTAAATGATACAAAAAAATGCTAAAAATATGAACCTATTAATAATTTAATTTGAAAAATTTAAAGGTTACATAATTGACTTATTATTTAATTTGTTTGTGCATACATACATACATAAGGTCATCTGCTTTGCGGGATTTAATGTGGTTCTGTTATTCCCTTCAGATTCAGATTCTGGTCTGTGATATAAACTTTCAACCCACGCATGGAAGAGAAAAGTTGAACCAAAGCAAAAAACTTGTCTCGGATTTTCTTCCATGTAGCGCTATATTATGTTACCTTCTTCCAAACATTGTGACTGAATTGTCTGTATTTTCTATTATTTAGTACACACATAGCTATTCAACTTTGCCACTTTTGTCATATTTTAGTTAACATGATTTAAAAATAATACTCCCGATAATTTATTTAGCAGACGGATATTTAAGTAAGTCAATTTTTGATTTGAGCATGGGACACATAAGCCTGGATGCTATGGCGTACATAAATATTTGTTATGGCTTCGGAAACGTGATGGGGTGTGCCGACGTGGAATAGTAATTTTAATGATGTGGATACAACAGGCATCACCATTATTTTCTCATATTAATTGCAGAGTATGTGTGGAGCATTAATTAAAAGGGAGTTGGATTGGAAGTGTGAACATGTCAAGGAATGAAATATTATCAGATCAATCAACAAGAACAACATCCCCGAGAATAAATCTCTAATTAAAATGTCATTCTAATCTACTCACTCATTGCTCTTGTTTAAACTGCTTTGTGCAGTCAATTCAATGCTCCAACTCACAACAAAACCATTTTCCTCGCTCTTGTAATAATGTTCGTTTTGGTTTGCGATGCGATGCAATCCAAAATCACAAACACAACGAAGAGCACAAAAGGATCAAAATGTTGATGATGGATTCCGTCCCATTACACAAAATAATGCTGACGCTGGTTGGATTCCGATGGAAAGTTCCGAAGGAAAGTCTCACTCACGTTGTTTGAAACATATAGCCCGCAGGAGGAAGGAACAAACCCGCACGATTGCATATATACCACATACCTCGATCGAACTACACTCGCCAATGCTGACTTGACTTGAAAATAAATTGAAAACGAGTAACGCAAATGCTCCCAGTTAAAATTGTTCATCATTAAAGCTGAGATTCAAATTATGCTTTATAAGGTAAGCAGATGACGTTATTCTGCTGCAAACAGTTTCACCCTAAAAAGTCATGCACAAGAAACCCATACATATCTAACCCATATATTTATATGCAATTCTATGGTGTAAAAATAATAGTTTATCCATTGTTTTAGTGTGAATTACTTATTTTGCCCTACTAATAAATCCGAGGGTGAAATGAGGCGGACCAGATCTCGATCCCTGATAATAATCATGTCGAATATGTAGGCCAGGAGAATACAGACCGAGATCGAGTGAGAAAAGGAAAGGGACTCAATCCAGCAAGAATAATTTCTGAAAATGCGGAGCTAATGTGGCAAATACAGATAAAAGTGAGCAGATAGAGATCTGTGTTGTGGAAGGTTTGCCGTTAGCTGCTTCATTTTTCTTCACATTCTATAAACAGATTCTTATTACGATTGACTATTACGACTGTTGAGTTTACTATTCTTTTGCTGCTGCTGTGCTGTCGGTGGGAAGTAACCTTAGGAGAAAATAATAAAACTCCGCTTGGAGAAGGAGGTGGTGTTGCATTGCATAAAGAAATATAGTACCAAATAAAATAAACCACGGTTTGCTTGCTTCAGTCAAACCGAGTTCACTAGTTGTGGTGTTATAGAGAGTGAGTGTTGGTTGGTTGGTTGGTTTGCAGGGCTTGGTATAAAATCTAATGGTTGGTGGGATGCTGAGCGATGTGATGTGTGTGGATGTGATATTACACAAAAGAAGGAGAGAGGAAAAGATAATAGAGAGGTTTTGCCACACGTTTTGGAATTGGGGTTTCATGAGAAGCCATTGAATGCGCGCGAGTTGGTGAATCCGGACTTGATGCTCGTAAAATCTCTTCGTGTGCTCAGCATCAAAACACGGAGTTTTAAGATAGCAGTCCACTCTATTATTACACAAAATAAAATAAAATAAACCTTTCAAGCGATATTTTGTTCGACATGTCACTACTACCTCCTCCACCCTCCTCATCGGACGAGGAGTTGAAGAAGGTTTTCGACATCGTGGCAACGGGTGAGAACAACACGTCTGATCTGCCTAAAGCAGGACGAAGGAATAGAAGAGGCAGAGTTATCCTTTCGGATTCATCTGATGAAGCAGATTTTAAGAAAGTTCCAAAAAAGAGGTAAACTGTTTTATTTACTATGTACACAAATGTGCAATGTTTTGTTTAAAAAATTTGTAGGTTTCGAAAGCGGAAGGCAAAGAAGACCGTGAAAAAGAAGAATTTGCTGTTCACATCAGAATCGGATTCTGACTCTGGTCGAAGTGAGTCCAACCAACAACAACCGCCCCGTCGAATAACGAGATCCGTTGCGGCGACGAATGACGTGTCTGAGAGTGCAGACTTAGGCTTCAAGACTTCTGCCAGCAGAAAGTGAGCATTGAGTTTACCAATTTTCCCAGCTAGGATGTATTGTGCTAATAAATAATGTATGAAATGCAGGTCAACGTCTTCAGCAAAGAAGAGTAAGACAAATCCAATCACGGATGAATCTCCACCTGCTGGAAGTGTAACCTTTAGATACAAGCCCCATACGACGCAAGCTGTGCTTTCGCACACGACGAAAGCTGGAAAAGTGATGTACAGATTTGTAGGACATCCGAACTTGGAACCAAGGTCTGGGGAGGCAATAGTTAGGGGAATGGAACGGAGGTAAGTGTAGACGATCAATACTTAAATCCGATAATGGATATAATTGTGTTTTTTAACAGATATCGACACGCCCCTCCTCAATTTGCACGATCACCTACCCCACCTGTACTATCACCTGAATCTGAAACGGATGAAGATGTTGAAGTCGCCGGAACGAGTTTCAAGTTGGTGAAGGTAGGGATGTCTAAGCAACGAACGCGTGGAAAATTCCGGAGGATGTATGTTACTGAAAGTTGTCCTCAGCAGCAACCTCGGTCAAGAGATGCAGCTATCAATTATATACAAAACTAGTAAGATCCATTATTGATTTATACATCTGGCACAATTGTTAATCTTGACTTTCTAACGCAGCTTAAAATCCAATGAAGAGGTCAGGAGTCGTCCAAGAATAACCAACCTAGACCCAGATGACATCATCAACATCACAGTAAACGGTGTGAGTTTTGAGCTGCGATATGATAGGAAAGCAAGTGAAAGATCTGGGATGGGCTTATATCGATACAAGAATGGTCGAAAATGTCTAGCGATCCCAGCTTGGAGAAAACAGTTACTCCAATGGTATATCTTATTAATGTGTATATTGAGATATTGAGATGTATCATTAAATTTATCTAACCTTACAGGCAACGCTTGAGTACAGAAAGGACGACGATGGTTCGAGAATGGATGACAAACCAGGAGCGACCGATGTAACTATCAATAAATTTAGCATTTATTTGCATTAGCGTAGATCTAATTTTGGATTTGAAATTTCAGACCAAGACAGGTTATGAGACGGGTCACTCCATTCCGGATAAATCCAAGGCGGATTTATCTCAACTCCGCGGATGCAATTGCCGATACCGAGAACGTTGCTGAAAGGAATGAGCATTTCAATATATTGGATAAGGCGAAGGATGGACGAACTGGCCCGCGTCGACGTTACCTCTACTTTGTGGTCATCATCCCAGACGAATTGGTCACTCATATCCAATCGGATGAGAATGGATATTGTCCTGAGATTTACGAGTGGTTGCGTGACCATGAAGATACGGCATCCATCTCTCTTCCACTCTACGTTGGAAGAAATTCTAGGTAAGTAACAAATAATGTATCATCGTAATGATTTATATTAAAGATTAATTAATCCTCTTTCTAATCCCAAAAGGGCTCCCGAACCATCAGCCTATACATTTAACACGGAGATGAGGTCGTCGATTCGTAGGGAGGTCAAAGCAGGTGGACGAGCATTTCTCATCCACGTGGAGGAGGTGAATTACCCCACGAGACGAGCAGCACGGGCAGGGATTATTACTTTAGAGGCGGCTGCCATCGTGAGTCAATTCGGAATTATCCATATTAGGATGTATCCTTAATAATTGATATATTTAACCAGGCATACCTATCCTTCATATCTCCCCACACTCCCAACAACTCACAAGTAGGGAAATTAAAATATTGTCGTGCTAACCGCCATGGCGAAATGGACGCGTTTATGGATTCTCATCCACGAATTCAGGCACACATCACTGCCATGGCTTCCACCACGTCTCGTCGTCCATTCCATTTCCTCGACGACCCATATGTCCCATGCCTTACCGACCATTCTTACCCTGGCCAGCCCTATTCGGCAATGCTTCATCCGGATAGGGATATGATCACTGAGGTGATCTTGGACAAAATTGAAGAAGAAAAATCTGCGAATGAGGAAGAATCCGACCTTGATTTGGATGGTCTCTCTGATAACGATGATGATGTATTTGAAGATATATCCGTTTCGGATTCATCTGCCCAACAACCAACCACCTTAAACTCCTTCACAGCTGCTCTTCGATTTCAACAGGTGAGATTATCTAACTAAATGACATCAGTAACTGATAGCATTTATAAAATTTCAGCAATCTCGTGGACATAACAGTTGTGGCATGAACGCCGTTAACAACTTTCGTCAAGAGGGGCCGCTATACACAAGGGAATTTTTCCAAGACATTGTGGCCAATTTGGAAGCGGAGGAAAGGAATGTGATCGACACGGGAGAGGTAGAAAAGTATTTTAAGCTGTATCAGAATTTGATTTAGCTACTAAATATTTAATTTTTAATTTTTAGCTGGATGAGGGCGCATATGGTAGCGAGAGAGGCGACTACAGTGTGGATGTGCTGGAACAGGCTCTAGTTTTCGCCCAGTATCAAACGTCAAGAAGATTTTTAGACTTCAACGTCGATTCATCCTTCGGATTTATCTACAATCCAGGAAATCATTGGATAGCTGTGAGACGAGTTCAAAACCAGTGGGTGGAATTTGACAGCATGGCGACGGGACCGGTCGTAATCACTCAGTCGGAAGTCATAGATCTGCTCAATGACTACGGTATGCATTTAAGATATTGGTTTTTGTATAATAATAATAAATCAATTTCTGATTAATTATAGGAAACTCCATGATAATTGTTACGGGAGAATCGACAGCCTGATCAGTAGCAATATGATATGACTCTTAATAATTACAGTAAACAGTAGTCATATTGTTCCCTGTTACAACTTGAATTTTATTTAATATCTGATAAATATTCATGTGATAAATTGTCTTTAGTTTGAAATAAACAAATTTCGCAAATTTAATATCTGATAAAATTGAAATTCGCAACTGTTATGCGTTCCATGATTTCGTCATTTTGGGAGTCACAAGCAAAACTCGAGAGAACAAGGCACGAACACGAAGCCCATCTACCAACTAACCATCATTTCCACAGTTTAAATGGAAACACCATCCACAATCACCAACCCTTGATAAAAACTCACTGGAACCTAAGAAGCTTCTAATTGATGTTACACTTAAAAGGTACACGAGGTTGGAGCAAAACAAACAAAATGCTAAAATTATGCGGTGAATGGCCCCTCGTGTCACCCAACTTGAGACGTGTTTCCACACTCTGTCTGTTACTTTCGGTGCAAGTAAAAGTAAATTGTGAACATTAGAACAGCTCCGGGTTTCCTCCTCCGAGTGAAGTAGTATCAAAGTCTCTGCTATGCCATTTCACCAACCAGGAGCATAAGGTATCACACCACGAGTGCTTTGTGCCCCACGCCACACATCGTCCGTCCACATTTCTCCAGAAGCAGCAGCAGCAAGAATGCATGAATGTCATTCAATTCATGTATCTCCATTTCCACTTTGCTTTCTGCTCACTGTTCAATTCACGTTGCTACTTACACCTTGAAAAAGCAGACTCCGTTTCCGACACAAAAGTTTATTCCGCTTATTCCCATCCCATATTATTTTTCTTTTCTTTTGTGATAAATATTAGATTCCTCATCCTCCTCCCTGCCTGCCTCGGCCAGGCAAAAGGGAAAAACGGAGTAGAATGGACGACGGAGGAACCAGAGACACGGAAAAAGGCCAAATTCTGCTGATATCAACCAACAAGGAACAAACAGATACGAGTCGAACCAAACAACCTAAAGATGTACAAGTGCACTATTGTACGACAATAAAAAAGACACACACTTTACAATAAGTCGAGGACAAGGAAGTGATGCAACGCAACTAACTTTTTATATGTATTTTTTCCTACCCACAAACAAACGGGTGTTATTGGTCCCTTCTTATGCTGGTCTTCATCCAAGTGTGCAGCCTACCTGCTGCATACTTATGTACACACTTTGGTCCTATTACGTAACTAATGCTTCCTTTAATCAGTCCTCCACACTTTCAACTATAATCACTTTCTACATTCGGTAAAAATTTTCAGTAGTTGTTGCTGGAATGTGCGGCTCTACGTGCGCACTGGTTAAATTGAAATTTATTGCGTACCATGTAGCCATATACATACATATGTAAACTACATAAGTGTACATATATATTATGTGAAATTTGTGGCAAGATTCAGAATAAGGGACAATATAGGAATGTTATGTAAATATAAACAAAAGAACAAAATCTTATATTTCTCAAAATAATTATAATTTAGTATATATACATGTAAATTTGTATCTAAATAAGCATGTAAGCACGCTTAAGCTATTTCTTCTGTCAATTTGAAAATTTGAATAAATAACAATAAATATCGATATGTATTCTATCCCAAAATGCAGCTACAACGCGTTTTAAACTCTCCACTACACAAAACCGTGTTACTAATTATCGCACTTATACAACGACTGAAAATAAAGGAGCCAAATTAAAAACCTATTGGTCATGTCATGCATTTGTGCATGTATGTAGCTCTCTCTTGGTCATGTTTAAGTTAAAGTATTAGATTAAGGTTTGAGCCAGAGAAGTTGAAAAATTATGGGATGATGAGATGCGGAGGATGAGAGATTGTGGTGGTGGTATGTGTGATGAGTAGTCGATGTTCAACAAATGAAATGTGAAAGGAGAGTGTGTGTGAGCACAAGAAGACCCCATCCGACAAAAAATTGTAATAAAAAGTGGATGGATTTGACTCTTCTCTAACGATGCCTTCACTTTATCCTCATCTCGTGTTGGTGTTGCATATATACATTCATGGTGCAAGGGTTTACTCGATCTGTAAATCTGATTCGGTAAATTCCTTCTCACATCGGCTACGAAACTTTGTAGATTTTTTTAAATGCAAGTGTGGATATAAGTAGCATCATCCACGAAATTATTTTACGCGGATGTTTCCAGACCTATTAGAACAAGAAGGGTGAAACTATTTACAGATATTTGACAATGGTTTTTTTAAGCTGGCACTAGTTTCACAAATAGTCTCTTCTTGATGCAACAGATTTAAAAACCATGCTCATTAAGACGTTAACTCCATTTTGCTACATATCTACATATGCATTTGACTTTTAAGACATTTGGTTTTGGTTTTCGCTGTTAAATTCAGGAAAGTATAAAGTGAGCCAGATTTTTTTTGTAGCGCTCCCACAGAGTTAAATTCGTCTCTAGACTAAAATTGAGCGTTTTGTTGCTGAGAAGAGACGTTAATATCAACACCAACCAAAGTCGCTGACAGCAGCTCGACTTTTCTCACATCCAACACATGCGTCGATCTTGAAACACTACGAAGTTTGGGAATAACTTTGTACTTATAGAGCAGTTGGATGGGGAGAGATCATTCAAGTTCTCTCTCCTCATCGAGTCGGCTCTCTATGTATGCGCATATGGACAATGTGTGTGTGCGAAGAAAGGACGAAAGGCCGAAAAAGTATCAAGAATTCTGCGTATAGTGCAAGAAGTCAGTGGGTGGCATGAGATTTGATTTTGTTGAAAAGTTTGGTTTTTCTCATTTAATGTCCAACCAATGGCGGGTTCTTATCACAACGAAGTTAGCGAGCAAATAAATGACTGATCGACCTAGAATTAAATTGGTTAATCTTTAAATAAAGTTTTCCCATCTTTTTCTTTCACTGTGAAATTAAACCTCTCACAAAGTTGAGTGCGCATCATCACATCTCAAATTCCGTGCCTCGGGCAGGTACATATTACACGGAATGATGGAACTGATGTCATTATGTGCATGCACGGAATGCATAAGCACTTATTTACAAGGGCACATTTGCTGCATATGATAAATTCTCAATTGCCGCGTCCTCACTTACACTTTCATCTATAATGCAGTCGAAATTGACAAAGGGAGAAGGAACGCGAAAACCAATCGCGCTTCCTTGTCATGTCACGAGTACATAGTGGACACTTCCTGTCTCGCAGACCAGTCTGCCACCATGCACCGCCACCACGAAACGAACGCAGGGAAGAAAGAAAGTCTCAACCTACAAAGACCGCAGTCCGGCAAAAAGTTCAAATTGAGAAAGCCATGCAAGCGGTTACTTTTGTTACGGAGAGAGAGAGAAATTCTTGTTGGTTGTTGGTGGAGAGGATTGAGTGAGGAGGAAGTGGGAGAAAGTTGGAGGACGACGACGGGTTGAGAGAGAGAGCGAGATAGTTTGCTTTGCTTTACTCAATGCTGCTTGTCTCCAACTTTCTCTCTCTCTCGCCATGCTCAAGTTTTTCGGTAAGTGGGAAAAACTTTAAGAGAGCACACGAACCGGGCGAATCTAGTAGATTTTGTGAATATTTTATGAGAGAGACGAGGTTAAAGAGGAAACGAGGCAATGTTAGGCAGGCACTTACTACTTATTGGTATAAAGGGTTTACTGGTTGTGAGTTGGGTTCTAAGTAAGTGAACCAGTCAGGGCCACACAGCCCTGTTTTCCATCCACAAAGGAACCCCACCAACACCACCACCTCCTCCTCCTCCTCCTCCTTCGCACACACATAGCGCAGTTTTCTGCTACAACAAAATGCTTCTTGGTAGCGCTGCTGTTGATTCCACGCACTATCACCGTCACCAAGAAATAGGTAAGTGCATATCCAGGCAGGAGGGAGGACTGTATATATATCGTAAGAATGCGATTAGGGAAAATAAAGTGTGGAGAAGAGGAGGAGGGAAAAAAGCAGGAAAGGTTTGCTTGCTTGGCTGCTTGAATCACTTGAGTGAGTGAAGTGTACTAAAGCATTAAAGAAAGGTGGCATCTTCCATCAAATCCCCCACAGTCACTCGGGGTCAGGATTTTATGGCGTTTTAGAGGTTAAGAATTTGTCACGTATTACTATTATGTCGTAATGTGCATTTGTCAGCCTATTGCCTTATTTGACAAGAACCGCACCACAGTCAGGTGAGCTATATGCAAGTGGTTCCAAGGGATTGACTGCCAAATAATAAAATGTGATGAGAAAATGTGTTCAAAATAAATTGAAACTTACTGCGGTCAAAAATGGATGAACATTTTACATGCTCTGCTCATGTTAATAAAGATCTAGGCTGCCTATTTGAAATATATGTTCAGCATTCTCTTATGAAACCCTTACAACAGTTACAACGCATTATAATAATAATGGTTATCATCAGCCTGGTGAAACGGGTATAAGTAATCCTTTCTCATATCTATTTACAAGTGCCACGTTTGGGCAAAAAGTGGGAAGGAATTGATGATTATGTACGATTCCACCGAGTTGAGTTTGATGTGGTTTGGTTTCAAAAGTGCATTTAAGATAAAAAATATGTTTTGACAGGAGGGTCCTACCCCATCAAAAGTTGATTGTAGGGAGCTGGATGATGCTGAAGGATGAACTTTGTTCGGACGGAGTACGTAGGGAAAGAAAGGAGGAAAGAAAGGAGGCTGATCATCAGAGATCGACTGCTGCTTCATGCTATTTACTACTCCTCTCTCTCGCTTATAGTCGTAACTTACATTACGTGAGATTGTATATGTAAAAAAGAAATGGCTCAAAAATTCAACATGATCGCACCCTTCTCCTTCTTCTCCCTTCGCATCCCAATCCCACCGAATCCGACCGACCGAGTCTCTTTGTGCTATTGTGTCCAACTTTGTCTGTGTTTGTCTATAATACGAAATACAAATGAAACTAAATACGAGATGAAAACGTGGAAGGTCTAAAGCCAAACTCATTCTGAAATAAAAAGAAGTAAAAGATATCGTGCCTCTTCCCCTTCGAACTTCCAGCCAACTACGACCGTGACTACTTAAATTAAATACAAACGACGACGTGCAAAGTTGGTCGATTTAAATCCAATTGCAATCCAACGGATCCAACAACCATTCATCTCAACATGTAAATATTTCAGCCCAAGAGGAGCGAGAATCTGCTCAAGTCTTTAAGCATTCAGACGCTTCCGTGTAATTGAGTCAAAGTCAAGCTTATTTTTTATCCTCTTAAATATGCATTGGAATAAGAACTATTCATATGCGAAATCCATGTAATCCGTCTTATTTGTATTGTTTTTTAGTGCTTCCTTTCCAAAAATAGTTGATAAGCATGCGTATTTATTCCCAACCTGTTTCTATTTATAACTTATTTTATTTATGTATTACTGATATTCACTTGTTACGTACATACATATCATCAAAGTTATTTGAAACTTGGCTATTAATTATCCAGGTTTCTGTGAGTACGGAACACGGCTCAAGTATCCAGATGAGACTATAATTGTAGGGTACATGTGCAATCAGCCAACAACAACCTTACAAATTACTCCAAAATTGAGCCAAGGAAAAACACTGGATTACTTTGAAACAAAAAAGTTTTTGATAATCATACGCACACTTACATATCCTGCAACAGATAAATTTATCGACTATGTACATCCATACACGCTGGAAGAGTCAGAAAAGTTTGTGTGTAAATGAAGCAACAGAGAAGAGGATAATTTGAATGCAGAACGCCTGGGATGCACTAAAAAGATTTTTGAATATGAACACTGATGTGATACTACGAACCCCTTCTGTTTGTAGTAGAAATAAATCCACACAATCATAACAGTGTAAAAAGAAGTGAGCAAAGTAAAGTAAAAAAAACATGCGCAAGCTGTAGAGATGCATACAGAACAAGAGAAGAGAGAGAGCAATTGAAGTAACTTTACCACTTCATATCCTTGGGTCCCATAATACCAAGTTTAAGACGTGTATTTACTCGATCTCTGTCCAGAGCAGAAGAGGAAGGAAATTCAGAGGCAACAGAATATGGGTAAAGTTCGTCCAGGGAAATGTTAGCAACATGTTCGAAGCGACCGTATCACATAACGTGTAATAACATCACTCAGGTCAATTTTTGACTTATACATACACACCAAAATTACAATTTGTACAAAAACAAGCGAATTTTGTCATTTGCGTGCATTTCCTCACAACGTGAATTGCATCTCCAAATATTCTCATCATTTCCGGCCAGGTTGAGCAGCCAAGAGAATCTAAAATATACGCAAGTATGTACGACTAAATGGTTTATATAAACCATGTAACCAGGATGATCTGTCTACATAGATAGTTCTCCCCTTTTCCTCCTTTTTCTCTCTCCGAGTCTGTGCTGGGACTTCTTTCGTAATGAAACACTCTTCCACGTTTGATTAACGTTTCGGTCAATAAGAAGGAGTAATTATGGGGCTGGGTCGGTCTCTTCACAAAAGGGAGATCTAAAGGGCTCCTAAAGGGTAGTTGAGTCCGCCTTCTCGTTTCAGATTTAAAGGCTCACTTTACACGTAAACCCAAATAACTCAGGCTCCCATAAATATTTTAAGTGG